ATTTTTGCTGCTGTTTAGGCTTTTCCATTCCATTTCTAAGCACAGCGGGGGAAAAGTGGAGATGGGTAGGGTTATTTGATTTTATTTAGCTCTTGATTTTGAGAAGCCTGTTTTCTGATGCTGAGTTCAAGCAGTATTTAAGAAAAAAAATGGTGAAAATCAGTACTATTGGACAGTAGCGATCTACCCCAAAGAAACCTGTAATTCTCATTTTTCTATTAACAGATCCACACCAGCAGCAATTAATTCTTGATGACCTTGTCTTTGATACACTGCCAAATGGCTTGTATCATCCAGCACATGGAGGGGGGACAAAACCAATTTTGCCCTCACCCATCAGTTGACATCACTACTCATTCATTCTTATAGTCTGTGGCTTAAGGTCCATTTAGTTTTCACAGGAAAATTAAGTACGACAATCACAATTTCTCTCTGCAGCTGTGTAGTCCATTTCATATTCAAGCTCTAGAAAGAAATGTGTTATAAAGTTGTGTTGGTTCAAAGGATGTGACATTTAATTTGCAAGTAGGTAGTGTTTTTCGTAATCCTAAAACATAAAAGTAGGGGTAGTAATTGTGGCAGAATTAAGAGGCTGAGATTTTTGTCTGCTGGTGTTTTCTTTAAAGTAATAGTCATGGCATTTTTTCATTTTGTAATGTGTGTTTTCAGGAGCGAAGGAAGCTGAATTTTTGTGACTGTGCCTTCATTTCTAATCTCTTTGTGAATGGAAAGCTATATACAGGCACAAATCCAGCAGCTTAATTCTCCATCTGATTAGAGCAATGTTACCAACCTGATAGATTGAAAACAGCCAAGATCCATGCAGTGGCTAAGCCTGCTGGGAGGTAGAGTAATAACAATCAAATGAAGATATATTAAAATGTAATATTACTTCCTCTCCACAGGGACTGTATAAGAATCATAGCCAGGAACTATTCTTGTCAGCTGACTCTGTTTCGCTTACTGATTCCCTGCCTCTGCATTTATGACTAATGCATTTTGTACAATAAATACTTGTGAAGTTTTAAAAGCAAATAAATGTAGAACATCATACATTGATTTATGTGAGTTCCGGGGGTTTTGTTGGTTTGTTTGTTTGTTTTTTAATGATTTATATATTTCGAAGAAGGGAAGGGAGAGCTGGAATGAAATTCTTTGGTCTGAATTGTTTCATTTCCTCTTGTGCAAGGGAAAGGATATGTTAAGGCAGTGGTTTACGAAACTGAAAATGTATGCTAGCTTCTCCAAAGTGAGTATGTATCAGCAGACTCTTAACTATAATTTTGTAAGAAGTCAGTTTTTTCTGAAAGTTGAGAACCCAATCTGATACTCCTCATAAAATGGCAGCTGCTGTTATATTCAAGGAATGCAGACACACAGTGTTTATATGGAGCTCGAACATCATTTTTGACTGACTCCTGTAAACATTGCCTATAAATTATTATGATTTTGTCAGAAAGTCTTAAAATTAATAGAGGTTTTAGGGCAATTATATGTGTTTATTTATAGATGTGGATAAACTGCTGACTGAATAATTTAGTGCGCTTTTGACTGTAATTATTAGTTTTGCAATTGACACCAGCGGAACAGGACAGGTCTTAGAAAATCAGAGGTACCTATCCATCAAAAAGATGTAAAAACGTTTTGCTGCCTGTTTAGCAACATTGTACTTACTTTTAGTTTCCTATGTCTTGCTGTATTAAGTGAAGTGTGGCATCCTGAGAACATTTAATACTCATGAGAAACTTCATATTAATCATTAATTATGTTTATTAATGTTAATATTTAAGTAGTATCTAGTCTTCTTAGCACAGGGCTGTGTGCATGGTAGTTTGTGTGTGAGTAATGGCCTCTAAAATATACCCATATTTAGACCTAAATATAAAAAAACCCAAACCTGTTCTTTTTTATATATATGTATATAAAAATAAACTGGATGGAAGGCCTAGAATTTGATCATATAAACACACCAGAGGGTAGTAGCATTTCCATTTTACGTGCAAGGAATTTGTGTTACGTTTCTGTGTTTATACCCACAACTCTGTCACAGACACTTTTTTTTTTTGGCAATACCCTTTCAGTGTGAGCAGAGCTCCAGGTACGGGGTCCCGTTCCTGCTGAAGCATGAGTACGGTGGGGGAGCTTACATGATAGCGGGTATAATTTTCGTTTGGAGATCACTATAGAAAGGCAGCGGCAAGTGTTTGAGGAATATTTTGTACCTACTCCCTTGTTTGACTTCTGCACGCTAAACTGTCAAGGGACGTTAGCAGTATGAAACTGTTTTCTCCGATGTCCCAGGTTACTTCTTTTTCTCCCTGCAGCTCTTCAAAGCTTGAAACTATGTGTTTAAAACTACCCACTTTCTTCCTGGTACGCTAGGGATATATGAGGTTATATTTCGATAGCCTTAATGAATTTTGAAAAATAATTTCCTCCAGTGGCCTTGGGTAATTGTCAGTTTAATTACAGGGAGAAGCTGAGATGGAAACTTTGCTTTGTCACTGAAATGCTCCTCTTTGAAAATTCCCCGGTTCTCGGGACGTAGCAGTCTCTACTCTGAGCTATAACATAGGCTTTTCGAAAACCCCTTGAAGAACTGTGGAAAAATTGAATACTTCTGCAAATTCATTCATCTGACATCAAAGCTATAAAGCATTCTTTCAGCAAGCAGGCGAGGCAGATTGCGCTCACATAGGCACACAACCAGACTCATTGTGCATCTGGGCCTTCCCGTCTGGAGACTGTATTTGAAGTAATTTTACATTCTTTTTGCCGTCTTACTTTCTTATTCTGTACTGTGGTCAGACTGTATCCTCTGCATCTTATTGAGGTCTCCGGCTCTGTGGGTTAAATGGATAGGCCTTTAAAGAATAAAAAGGCATTGATGTTCAGAAGCAGCAGCACTCTATTCAATTAAAATCAAGTAGAAGGTGTTTAAGGAGATGTGAGCCCCCATCGCCTCGATTGAGAAACAAATGAAGAATATAAAAAAAATGCAAGACAAAGTCAGTATTTATTAGTTGTACTTTCAGCTGATGCTCAGCTTTGGTATTTCTATTTACTGCTTTTTTTCCCTTGTCCTTGTGCTGGTACATTGGCAAATAGGTCATAAAAACCACTTTCAGCAAAGACACATTTGATTTATGTCCAGAACTGGTTCTTAGTATTGATTTTTTTCCCCTCTGGAAAAAAACAAAAGAAAACAAAACTATATGTCTCCATTATTTTCTGAGCCTGGCAGTGCAGTGGCACATTTCAGATCGGCTTTTATCTTAAATTACTCATTGTGCTCTTTTATATTTTAAAAAGTCTTTTTTGCAAGTTGGAAAAAAAAGAAGTAGTTGCATGTACGGCCTTTGTCACTTTTTTACAGGGGGAGGGAACAAGAGGAGGAACTGGGAGGGACCAAGTATGAGGAGAAGGGAATTTTGGGAAAAGAAAGCACAATTTAGGAAGTTTTTATGGTGGCTGTAATTTGAGTTAGTCACAAAAGAGGCAGAAGTGGAACAAAACCAAGAAGTAGATCAAAGGCAAGGAAGCAGGGTTCAGCGGTATGGGGTTTATATCTTTACGGCTAGAGAGAAGATTAGAGCAAGGAAAACACTGCCATGGGGCTAGGAGGACATTGTGAAGGAAAAAGGAAATACACATAGGCTGCATTTGAAAGAAAATCCCCAAGGAAGGCGAAAGAGAAGGAGTGAGAATTAAAAACAAAGATCTGAACAGTGTGAAGCCCTGGCTGAATTAGATCCCGAGCTGAAAGGAGAGGGGCAGAGGCAGGAAAGTGCTGCTTAAGCAGTTCACCGCAGCCGCGACGAGCAGTGAGCTCCGTTATATCCCGTTTTCTGTTTGTTTTCTCCGCCTGGCGGTCTGGCGCCGGTGCATGTGCGCGCACCCGCCCGCCTGCGCGTCCTACGCCTTGGATGAACCAGCTCCGAGAAACGACGGTGAAATTCCCACCCCCGGGAGAACCGGGGTGGGAAAAGCCCCGCTGCCTTCCCCACGTAGCGAAGCCGGAGCCCACCGTCGGTGGCCGCGTCTGCTTCGCCACCCGTGGCCGGGGCACCGGCCCGCACGCCGACGCGGCCGGAGCTTGGCGCGGTGCGGGACGGCCGCGGTGCCCGGAGCTGAGGAGCTCTGGAATAGCTTTTCAGCAGCTTTTGGGGGTTTGCAAGCGCCAGCCGGCTGGGGCGGCAGCGGAGGTGAACCCCTAGACCATGACTCCACGTTTTGGGTCCTCCGAGGCAGTTGCGCTTGGCGCGTAAATCGCGTGGCAGCATCGGCTCGCGGTGGGGTTGCGCGGTTCCAGCCGGCGCCCAGATAAGCGAGAACAATATAAACGCGGGGGAAAGCACCCGTTTGTTTGTAACGAGCTAAAAGGTTTCCGTGAGAATAGAGCGCACTCCCCTCCGCCCCCGCGGAGGCTCCTCAATGCTGAGAAAAGTGAGATTGTACTTTAAAATATTAAACGGTTTTCCAATCAGCGCAGAATCTCAGCTTTCACCTGGGTCTTTTGTATGTGTTCACTTCTTCCAGCAGGAGATTTGTAATAGAGGAAGCAGGTGTAACGTGGTGATTATAAAGATATTGTTGGGGAAAAAAAAAAAAAAAGGGTGAATTTTCAGTGCTTTGCTCCTCTGAGGCTGCCAGGGCTTCCTTTTCAGCTGAGTCCCTCACCTTTTAGCAAGGTGCAGTGTTTTCGGCCAAGTCAGTCAGTCAGTCAGTCAATTGTGCATAGAGAAAAAGGTTGCTGGGTAAATTTGAAACCTTGACAACACATTCCTCCATTTGTATATATTGTACGACTTACCAATGTATTCATTCCTTTGGCTTTCAACATTTCACAACTTTCCATAGGTCAGCCTGAGCAACAAGAACAGGTCCTGGTAGATTGACAGATTTCCGCTTTCAGACACTCATGTTCACATCACTTTGCCTGTTGATTTTCCGATTTTTATTTATTTTTATTTTTTTATTTTTCTTTTATTTTTAATCAGCAACATCAAATGGGTCTTTGGAGGGCCTGGATAACCAGGAGGGAGGGGTGTGCCAGACAAAAACCATGAAGATCCTCATGAAAGTTGGACAAGGTAAAGACCATCTGCTGTTTCATGAACTCACTTTGATCAGTCTCAATGTCCTTTTAGTTTTCAGGCTTCTTTTAGTGGTGTAGAGCAGAGAGCCAGCCGACTCCAGTGTGGTCATTCCTCCTCGATAGTCTGAAAGCAAAGCCTATTTTCTCTTCCTCGGCTACTGACAGATTTCTACAGAAGGAGGGTTAGCGTAATAAGATCTCTTCACTGGAGAGATCCCTAGAAGGAAAGGTCACCTGGGAGTAGTGTGTTTTAGTCATTTTTATTTTTATTTTAAAAACAACAGCCACAACTCTGCTGCTCAGAATTATTTAAAATACATGAAAGGAGGGAAGCTAATATTTCTATAGTTTGCTTGTTATGAATTCTGATTACAGAGAGGTTTTTGTTCATTGTCTCTTTTCACATATAGATAACCTATTGTGCAGGAAGAAAGAATTATTCTTCTAAGTAGAAGTTGGTTTAATAGTCAATCAGCATCCTCAGTTAAACCGAAATGTCATCTGCAAAGCTTTTCTTGCCAATTACAGGAGTCCCTATAGTTTCTGCAGATGGCCTCACAATTTAAACCTCTGAAATAACTAATATAACCATTTCGCTTTAGAAGGGAAATTACGTTCTTATATCTCCCAGTCCTTTGCATAGAGATTCTTCTGTTCAAAACCATTCGTGTCTCACGAGGTACCTAGAGCCGGCTTATAAGGCTCCGTACCATCAAGCGCCGAAGCTGCATGAGTTCCCTTTCTCTCCCCCAGATCCCAACTCGGCGGGGCTGCCCCGGCACACGGATCCCACCAAGCGCCCCGAGCAAGAAGCTGGCACCAACGGGAAGAGTTCCACCACCAGCCCCTTTGTGAAGGACCACTCAGGTAGGTGTGCTGGGGCTTGTGCCTGCTGTCGGGCTCTGGCGGAGTCTCCTTCTTTTTCCCCAAATGCCTTTTATTTTACCGTTAAAGTGCCAGAAAAATGAATGTTTTCGTACTGAGAGGAAGCGAAAGCCAGTTCTGATGCTCCGGTGGATAGTGTCTGCGAGCTGCAAGTTTTGGCAACAGCCGCTCTCTCCCCTCTTCTGCTCTGCAGTAGAAGTTAATTACATCTTGGGAGAATATCACTCATTTACAGGAAACTTTTTGGATAGGACATGCGCTAGGCAGCTTTACGAGGGTAAATGCTGCCTTACATTTAGTAGTCTGGCAGACGAACGAGTCTTTCTGTCTATCTCTTCCCGTATAATACATTATCAAGTGGTTCTCGACAGCCATTTATAAAGTTTATTTCAAGGCATCTATAATTAATGTCCTGATCTTTTAACTGACCCTATAACGTCTACACACGAATGGCTGGTCTTTCACTAAATTTAAAGATTTATTTATTTTTTATTTATTATCTAAACAAGATAAACAAGATGGTTCCAAACCAATATCTTCAGGATGCATTTGAGACATTAGGTGAACAAGAAAAAAGACTCTTACGACCCAAGGTCTCCAGTCAAAAAAATTGGTGAATTGGGAATGCTACAAAGCAGATCTTACTGACACTTGATTCTGGGGTTCCCGAAAATGGCTGCAAGTTTTCCTCGCTAGCTCTGTCATTAGTTACTGGTCTAATGAATCTTTGATATGGCGGTCACTGGGAGGCTTCAGCCATTTCCTGCGGAGGTTCCAGTGGGAAAAGTTCACAGTTACGTGGACGTAGCATCTGCAGCGTTCTTCCACCTGTGAGCGAGCATCAGGAGAGGGAAGTCAGTTCAAATTTTCAAGTGAGAAAGTGTCAAGTGAGTGTTCATTTAATTTTTGTGACAAATAATACGACAGTGTGATGGCACCAAATATTCAACAGGCTGTTCGTCACCTGAGCTTTTCCCGACTACCAAAGGCGTGGTGTTGTTTTCTTATAAGTAAATATAAGTTAATACAAACAGATACATGCCATAGGCATTTTGCCTATCTATCTGCCGCACTGCCTCAAGCTCCTTTGTTTCACATGCAAGCAAGAGGATTCCACGTAAAGAGGCACTAAGGATGGTTTAACTTACATTGATATGTGAAAGATAAAATAGCAGAAGAATGGTGTGACGCTGAACAGTACCAGTTGTCCTGAGAATTGTCATTTCCCTGGGTTATTTTCCCCTCGCAGTCCTATCCCACCCCTCTCCGCTGCCCGGGGCTGGCCGGCATCTGTTAAAAGATGCAGTGTGCATCAAAGGCTGCCTTGTCAGTGCCAGTCCTCGCCGCTGATGGATGATGATGTATGAAACGGGGTGGTTTGGGAGCAGCACAAAAGTGAGACCAACAGACACAAAGTCTTGTTTAATACTGATTGCTGACTTCGGCTGTTTGCATTTAGCTATCTGACAGGGTAATTGGTTTGTCAAAGTTTAGCTGTCAGTTAATTCTTCCAGTCGTGCTTACTCTACACATTTTTAAGCAGCGTAAACGGGTCGCAGGATGGCAATAACTTCTGTCTGTTGTATTTCCGTTCTTTCCAGGATCTAGCACAGATGGCAGTAAGGCTGGGCATTCCAGTATACTGGGTTCAGAGGTGGCCTTATTTGCAGGGATTGCATCAGGGTGCATCATTTTCATCGTCATCATCATCACTTTGGTGGTTCTTTTGTTGAAGTACCGGAGAAGACACAGGAAGCATTCCCCGCAACACACGACAACTCTCTCACTTAGTACGTTAGCCACCCCAAAACGCAGTGGCAACAACAATGGTTCTGAGCCCAGTGACATTATCATTCCTCTAAGGACTGCAGACAGTGTCTTTTGCCCCCACTATGAAAAGGTCAGCGGCGACTATGGACATCCAGTGTACATAGTTCAAGAGATGCCTCCTCAGAGTCCAGCAAACATTTATTACAAGGTCTGAGAAACACACAATCAACTCTGTGGTACAGTTGAGTTGTAGAGGAAACTCACTGGTCAAATGCTTTCTGTTGGGGTTTGTGATGACGCCTTGTGCGCTAGCATTGACTCAAGCACAGGGGGGAGAAGGCGACAGCTCTTTCACTGGGAGCCGACGCGAGCTGGACAGCTTACCTAGTCTGTAGAATTCCTATCTCAGTGAATAAGTATTCACTAAAAGCTGGAAGACTTTTATGTAGAAGATGCCCATTCTGATTGCTGTACTCTTGTTACATTCATCATCCTCAAAGCCATGTGCTGCGGGCGTTCAGGCATGTACAAAAGCCAAGGGAAGACGGAGTGATCCGTGGATGTTAATAGCTCTAGGCATCCTGGGAAGGTGCTCTAGGATATATCAAGCTTGAAATGCAATCTTCTGACTTTTGTGTGTCTCTCTCAGTGCGTACTGGATTTGTCACACAGACCTTAGTGTCTAAGTAAGACTTGTTAAAGTTCTCTTGCTTTTAGTCGGTCACTGTTCCATTTGTTCTGTTATCCGGGGCTCTGCCATCCTTCACATAAGATTTCCTTTCACTCCACCTCCTGAATCACTAATGGAACATTAATGTTTGGAGATCCGCACTCCATCCATCTGCTACAGCAGCCTCACTTGAATGGGTAATGCATTAATAGAAATTGTGTTTGATAGTAAGGAGCCTTCCAGCCAAAAAGTTAGGCTGTCAACAAAGTCTCAAGAGCAGGACTGGGTGGTGGAGGGAAGGGCTGACTGCAGTTGCAGTTCAAACACTGCTGCCTCAAAAATAGAAGCTGGGAAGAAAAAAAAGACAAAAAAAAAACATTTAGGTAGCACAGCACTTTGGTACGCTAAGTTTTAAGAGACAAGTAGGAGACACAGTAACACGCGCAGTGGTTTAGGGCTGCATTTGAAGGAATTCATGGTTATCAAATACCAGTGTGCAGAAAAAAAATAGTACCTTCAATACAGTAGAACAAAGGGGTATTGTTAGTAAGCGAACAAGCTTGGAGAGGACAAGACAATAGAAGGCCGCCGAGGATACATTAGGGCAGGGCTGTTGTGGTACTGGCAATAAAATACACAGCTTTGAAGCTGTAGCGAAAACGTAGTCTGCTGTGGATGACTTTTAAGCAGACTCAGCTGCTATACTATCACATTGTAGTAAACACAGGGAAAGCATTTAAGAAAATAGCAGAGAGCCAAATCTGACCAAGATGATTATAAGCCAACAGGTCAAATGAATTGTAATTCTGTCACTGGTAAAGTTGTGGAAGAAAATAAAATAAAAAAAAAGAAAACAACACAAAAAACCCTTTCTCATCTCTAAAAGTAAGACAGAATTTCTTTCTGACTGAGCCTTTTGACACTTTGGTTTATTGTAGTGCTGTCCCTGCACAGTGGGGGTAGGTACTGTGACTGACACAGCCATTCGTTGGTGCTCTGTTGCAAAGTTAAAGCACATATGGCAAACCTCTTGCAGTCCGTAAGAATCAAATAAATTATGACACTGAGATGGAGAAGGAAGATATGTCTTATTTATAATAGGTGTATAGAACACAAGGGATATAAAGTGAGAGTTTTTCTTTCGTTTGTTCTTTCTTACTTTTTTGGTTTGGTTTGCTTTTTCTACTAATATATATTTTGAGATTGCACAGTATCTACACCAGAAGATGTGAAATTAATTTGCGGCAATTAGATAGTCTTAACTTGTCATCATTTTACATATATATGTGTGTGTTTATATATGTGTATACAAACATATGTATGTTTATATATGCATATATATATATGTATACACACATGAAAAAAAAAAAAAGAAACTGCTTCTGGGAAAAACATCAGCCATCCAAAAATAACAATGGGAGCATATTGAAAAAGAAATAAATCCAAAGCATCTCATAAGAGAAAACTAGGAAATATAAGGCCCAAAATACCAGGAAGTCAATGTTACTGCATCACGGATTTAACAATGACAAGGTGTGCCGGCATTTATTTTCTGTGTTGTGTTTTCCCTTGCCTTATGGGCTGATGTGTTCTGTAGATTTCATTGAGGTTCATGGGGGGGGGTTCAGGTTAAAGTTTTGATTTTAGCGTGGCTATTCCCCTAAAGCTCCCACCCTGGGGAGGAAATAAAAAACCTCTACTTTTATATGTGCTATGCAAATAGACATTTCTAACATAGTCATGTTACTATGGTAACACTTTGCTTTCTGATTTGGAAAGAAAATGTAGCAACAGCATTTTGGGGTTCTCAGGCCTCCGGTGAGCACCTGCAAGAAAAAAAAAAAAGGAAAAAAAAAAAAATCTGCCATAGAAATGATCACTCTCTCTGTTTCCTGAACCTGAAAATGATGTTGGGATGTTGGTCCAAAAGAGAGAAACAAAACAAAAAAAAAAATCCCAACCCATGGTTCTGTGGAAGGTTACCATGGTGACTAACTACAGTACATATGTAATTCTTTTCAACAACCCTTCCTTTCTGTGAATCCATCCATACAAGGTTCTCTTGTAAGTCATTAAGGTTTTATTTTGGGGGAGGGGGAGGAAGGGAAAAGATGGGTTTACTGATACTGATTTTTATTAAATCAAATTATGCTTCATCAGTTGGCTACATTCTAGTTATGTACTAAACTGTGAAAAAAAAAATCAGACGAATTGCTCAAGAGCAACCTGCAACCAGTTGAAAAAAAAAAAATGTATTGTGCGTCTGTTTTGTGTCTGGGGCAAAATTATGACAATCTACCAACTGTTCCTTTATTTGACGTTGGTCCAGCTTTGAAAAGTTACTGTGAATGCCTTGCTTGTATGATCATCCCTAGTCACCCGACTTGGAATTTGCACCATCATGTCTAAGTGAAGATGCTGTAAATAGGTTCAGATTTACTGTATATGGATTTGGGGTGTTACAGTAGCCTTATTCACCTTTTTAAATAATAAAAAAAACCCACATGAAAACAAGACAAAAATGGCTTTTCTTAACCAGATTGTGTATATAGAGCAATGTTGGTTTTTTATAAAGTCTGAGCAAGATGTTTTGTATAAAATTTGAATTTTGCAATGTATTTAGCTACAGCTTGTTTAAAGGCAGTGTCATTCCCCTTTGCACTGTATTGAGGAAAAAAATGGTAAAAAAGGTTGCCAAATTGCCGCATATTTGTGCTGAAATTGTGTACCATGAATATTTATTTAAGGATTTCTTTGTCCAGTTTGTAAGTAACACAGTATTATGCTTGAGTTATAAATAATTTCTTCTTTTTTTTTTTATTTTGTTTTGTTTTGTTTTGTTTGTTTGTTTGTTTTGTTCTGTTTTAAAACTAGCCGGTCATAAGTTTGAAATCTGCTTTAGTTCCACATTACAATTAGTTCCCAGAAAATGAAAATTATGAAAATCACATTCCAGGTCTGTTTCAAACTGAATTTGTTCTTAAAAAAATAAAATATTTTTTTCCTATGGAAACCTTGCCTTCTAAGTGTTTTCTTCTTTTGTTTTGGGATTTTTTTTCTGTTTTAAAAGATGAAAATAAAGCAAGCCACCAAGCCTGTCTCCCTCCCTCCCTCCTTCTCTCTCTTTCTCCTCTCCCCCATCTCTCCACCCTGATTGCTAGTGGTTTATAGGAAAGAAAGCGCCTTATAATACACTGGCTTCTGTTAACCTACTTCTTCCCCAGGCTTTCTCTTCCATCTATCAGCAGATTTTAAAAACCACATGGAGGTCTTAAGCCCTCGGAAGTCCGTGAGCTTCAGCCAGGTGCAGTAGCCAGGTTGCCCGGATGATCTGGGAGGTGAGATTATAACCACACAAATAATTCCCAGACATTATGGAGTTGAATTATACTGTGGGCAGAGTCAGGGAAAAAAATATATATATACGTGAAGGTGGGTGCTGTTGCTGTCCGTGCTGCTCCTGAGGAGGAGGAGCGGCAAGCCTGGGGTGGTGGGGTGAGCAAGAAGGGACAGGAGATGGATGCCCCTGGGAGAATGGCGAAGGGTTAGAAATGCTGCAAAATCACAGCATCTCTGCGTGGTTCTCTCGGTGGGGCCATGCACCGTCCCGTCCCCGCTTTACTGTGCCTCGAGTTACGGGAGGTGGGGCCGATGTGTGTGCAGGTGACACAAGCCTTAATGCAAGAGCTGTGGCGGCGTTGCTCTAATTTTTCATTAGGATAACCGATTCCCTCATTTAGTAAATAACACCTTCATTTTTTGACAAAGCCCGGTCACCTGGAAAGCAAAGCACCGTTCAGTTTGTTAGCAGCGCATAAATGGTGTGATCATCCAGGGAGTAACAGGTGGGGAGGTCTACAGAGGGGAAAGATGCATTTCTCACTTTGACAACAGATGCCAGTTTGTCACAGAATTTTCACTGAAGAAAGGCGGCTGGTTATTCATAGCATTGGTCACGCAATTCCCATTTGTCAAATTATTTTTTCTTTTCTGAATAATCGGGGGAAAAAACGACTCTGTGGCAGAGGCGCTGTATGTATGTGTTGCAATGGCACAAGTATTCCGAAACTGGACATACAGAAAGCCCTAGAGGCTGTGGAGCGGTTGGGCGAGCGTGGCTTCTTGCTGATGGAGCTCATTTTGCAGGTCCAGTTTACCGAATCTGGGCTGGAAGTTGACCTTAGAGGGAACGTCCCGGAGTGGCACTTAGGTTCACCTCCTGGCTCTGCTACGGATGTCCGCGGGCGAGTTACTTGCTCCAGCAGAAGACAGTAAGTGTCCCTGGGGCAGCGTGTGAGCACCCACCGGCTGCTCGGGAGCTGACGTGGGTCCGATCCTGCGCCGAGGGCTGGGAGTCGCTCCCAAGGAGGTGGTCTCGCATACTGGGAGGCAGACACGTACTCGACTGGGCTGGGACTTCGCTCCCCGCTCCGGGCCAGCGCACGGGGGGGTTCGCCTGCTCGTCCCAGAGGGTCGTCGTGGGGGTCCCCACGCGGTGAGCGGCTGTGGGTGCTCGGGTCTGCTCCGTGCTGAAGGCTGGTCGGGGGGAGCTGGCTGTTAGAGCTGTGACTCCAGCTTAGTTAAGGCCAAGGCTGTTGGGTTTGGTTTAGGCCTTGGGAAACACTGGGAGACGGCACTAAGAAAAATAATTTGATAGTGTCGAGTTTACATGGCATTTTCATTTCTGAGCCTCTTTTTTTCCATCTATGATAAACACGTATAATGATGTACGTATTTATAACTACTGTGTATACTGACACCCACACGCCCCTATTTTTGTCGCTGTTTTAGCAGTAAGGGAAAAGGAGCGTTGCTATAATCGGTGTCTCCACGGGGAGGTGGTTAACGGCTGGCAGTGGAACTATCGGTATAGGTACGCCTGGGGACAAGGCTGCCGGGTTAACAGGAGCGCCTGGCACACCGACCTTTACCAACACCACGGAACCTCCACCGAGCCTGCTGAACTCATTTTCGTAAATGATACGTGCCTTAGACGCTCAGGATAAAGTCATTGACTTATAACCCATCTTTTATAACTTGCAGAGGGGGAAAAAAAATCATACTTGCATTTTGCACTGGTGCTGACACTGCACTATTAATTATCAAACAAGCACAAAATCAGAATTTACTGCCTTTATTACGAAACCGGTTCCCCAGCAAGAAGTAGTCCAAGTCAATAGGCTCCGCTAAGTGGAAAATAAAATTATAATTCACAGTTGTTATCCATCTAGAGTGGAATAAGGATCCGTTACATAAAATAGCACCTCACAAAGTAAGCATAACAGTGTTACTGCCTAGGTTTAAAACGTTATGCCTCTTTCTTTAGCCTTTCTCTTTAGCTTTGCCGT